TAGCAGAGATATTAATGGCTTTTATGTAAACATGGGCAAACGAACCTATTAATAGCCTTTTTAAAAATAATCTTAAATATGTCCTTTTTAGCAAAACAGTTTAAAAAACTTTACTGTAAGTGATACAAATGTCTAACTCACGTCCCACCGTGCCGTGTATTTCCAGGAGAAGCAGAAAAATAAACAGTTTCATGGTGACCTCTCAATAATCTAACAGCTAATATCTTATTATCTATGTGGGTCTGCATGGAGACCCAAAGCTGAGGTCAAAGCTGCAACATCGAGCCAATGAAAACCATCATCAGTGCCAACGTCACTAATATCTGGGTTAAAACGACTCACTGATGTTATCCGCAGAACTGAAAGTAAAGTCTGCAAAATGTGATGAAATAAGGAGGCGGGGAGAGAGGCCGGGTGTTTCTACCTTTGCTTCCACACAGAAGTATGTTTAGTTTATGAGTCATGCTGCTCAGACTTTTTGTAGGTTGAAGTTTCTATTGTTTCTATTGTCTCTGTGTTGTTAGGCTCCCTTTAGAGTGAAAACATTCCCTAATAAAATGTCACCAGAGCACAAACACAGTGTTTTATTGACACTACAAGAACTAAAACTGTGGTGAAGTGCTCCCCAGGTTATACATATACACTAACCACACACTTTATTAGGTACACCTGTTAAACAGCTCATTAACACAAATTTCTAATCAGCCAATCACAAAGCAGCAATCTAATGCATTCAGTTGTGTAGACACGGTTGAAACGTCCTGCTGAAGTTCAAACATGGCATCCAGCTCCTTCCACTTATCTGGGTTCAGGTCACGGGGGCAGCAGCCTGAGCAGAGAAGCCCACACTTTTCTCATCCCGGCACAACTACCCCCAAAAAACTGAGCATTCATTCTGTGGCGGTTAATTTCCAGATAAAATTTCATTAGCAGAATCTGTTTCGTTATTCTATTTGCAGTTTAATTTTCTCTTTCACAACACAGCTTAGTGTAGTTATTCTTGCTTTGAGTGTGTAAAGTTTGTGAAGACTAACATAATTACAGTAGTAGGTTAATGCCACTGTTATTTCACATAAAGAGCAAAATAAGTAAATAAGAGGAAAAGTTGGTCCAACAAGCCCCCAAATCAAAATTATGGGGGCAAGACTTCATGTAGTAGACTGGGGGGGTTCTAGGTTCAGACTTTTAGGGGAGCTCAGCCCCGAATCATAACGCCACACATTATGATATTATATTATATTTTTTTTATTGCTTACTGTATTTAATTTGTAAAATATGTATACACACACACACACACGTAGAAAAACATATTTAGTATACACATCCAGTAATGCATATACTATTATATATTGTACATATATTTATTACTCTCAGATTTAGCCATTCTTATATTTTGCTTGTTTTACGTTATTGTATTTTGAAGCTCACACACAAGAATTTCACTCACATGTACTGTACCAGTGTACCTGCACATGTGATGTGACAATAAAAGTGATTTGATTTGATTTGATGATTGGGGGCTGAGCATTTTAACACCTTGTCGTTAATATTAAGAGAAAATGCTACTTGCAAATGTCATCAACCATTTTCACATTTTCAAACCTCAATTCTGTTTGATACACATTAAAACGTTACTTTCAAAAGCAGCGTAATTAGTTGGAAGACGTATTGTAATGTTTAAAAATGAATCAGAGTGAATAATCAGTGATTTTAATCTCATCCACCTGTTTTATGGCGGAGCCTTTAGTTACCCAACCCAAAGCAAAGACTTGTTAAAGAAGTTAAAGAACTATTTGTGGCAAAGCAGAAAAGATAAGAAACATTATTTCAGTCTCTTAACCACACAGAGGCTTCCACCAAATCATCAAGTACTTTAAGTGGCGTTATTCAGTACAGACACTGGAAAATCACGATGCCACTCCACAGACCAGTACGTGAAGCAAACTGGTAATAGAGTTGTTTCGTATTAATATTTCTGAATTCATCGAACTTCCTGTTCTTATACAACCTCTCTGTCCTCTCTCTCTGCATCGTCCTCACTCAACTAGGAACAAGAAAATAACACAAATATAATCTTAGAATAATTAAGATAAGATTATTATTATTATTATTATGATAAGGGCAGGTTTATAATCCATAATTGACAACAGTATAAGACACTGCTTTATACTGAAGCTACAACTTTATGCTGTTCGGTGAATTTGACCACATGTCCACTCTGTTTCTTTTCTCTCTGCTGTCTTCATCCTGCTCTCTCAAAAGTTAAATGTTACAGTGAATAAAGGACATAAACTCATCCATATCAGTTTATAGTAATATTCAAACTGAATACAGACTGATGCTGGACACCGACAGCTAACATCATTTTGACCTGCTGTCACTTAGATCTGGAGCTGAAGACCAATTCAACCAGAATTGGAATAGAAATCTTTAACAAACTAAAATTATAAAGTACATCATCTCCTTGGCTGGAAGTAGTGATGCACCTACCTTTACATACTCAGTAATTCAATATTTGTGGTGTCAGGTTGGAACATGACTCATATTCACAAAGTTTCTGTTCACTCATGTTATTATACTCTCCTCTCCACACTCTGAATAATCGACATTAAATGTTAAACTTTTATTTAGATGTTCAAGTATAGAAACAGTGCAGTAGTCTAACAGAACAAAGACTCTTTCCTCTGATTCTGTAGATCAAAACACAGCTGACCTGAAACATCCAACATAAAATAATCTTTACAATAAATCCCACGTGAGGCACGCACACGCACACACACTGTAAACCTGATTTTTGGCAGCTGCATTAACCGTCTAACAGAACAAGCAGTAATAAAATATGCACATACATGTCTCTGTAGTATTTATGTAATACAGTTACCATTAAAGTCATGACTGTTCATCACTGTCAGGGTTTGAACAAAACATAGAAATGGCAATAATAGAGTACAGCTTTTCTTTGCAATACCTTATTTATAGCTTTCATCAGCGTATTCATATTTTTATTAAAGATGAAACAAATTATTTATGACAACTTTTATAAATCTTAAACTCAATATTTCAAGACATCTCATGTTGTTGTTCATAAAAAAAACCGTGATTGTAAAGTGAGTGTAAATGAACTGATCTGCAGTAAATTCAAAGCAGAGCAAATCACAGAACTATTATTTTCAACTTATTGACCTTAAATCACGATATCTCCAAAAGTGCAGTGGTTAGCATTCTGACCTTGTCAGTAAAAGGTTGATGGTTCAATTCCAGCTGAAAACACAAATCCTGTTTGAGGTTGTGTCAGAAAAGTCATCCAGAGTTAAACTAAAATCAAACGTGCAGAACTAACTGCTGTAGCAAAGCAGCATTAAAACTGAATAATAGTAATACACACTCAGACCCAACACTGAGGAAAATAAACACATAATTCCTACAGATGTTGTTTTTCTTCTTTAGAACCATCTTTACTTATTATTAAATAAAAGAGACCTACAGTATAAAATTATACTTAAAAAATTTAAATTGTTTTTTATGTTTTTTTCAGTGTTTTTATTTATGTAGTTTTATTTTTATGTGTTTATGTTATTGTTATGTTATAATTATTGTTAATATTATTATAATTGTCGTTGTTATTAATTAATTAATTATTTTATTTTTTCATTTTTATTCTGTTTTTAATGTTAAGCACTTTGGTCAGGACTTGCTGTTTTAAAGCACTTTATAAATAAAGTTAGTTTGGCTAAAAAGTATTTTTTCTCACAGAAAATAGTAATTCTCTTTTTTTCCTGTGACATAAAAGTAAAAATTTGGTTCCTTCATGTTGTTTGGTGTATTTTGTGTATGTTTCAGTCACAAGTTGTAAATGGACTGATTCTTATATAGCACTTTTGTACTCTCCCGGAGTACTCAGAGCACTCTATACAACAAGGCACATTCACCCAATCACACCGATTCTCACAAGCACTTTATCTGTACTTAGTGCTTTTCTAACTACAGTCACACACATTCATACTCCGATGGATGCATCAGAGGTTAGTATCTTGCCCAAGGATACTTGGCATGCAGACCGGAAGAGCCTGGGATCGAACCACCAACCTTCCAATCAGTAGGTGACGTGCTCTACCTCCTGAGCTACAGCCACCCCAGCCAGGACAGTTGTGTCAGGAGAGTTGTGTCCTGGCTGAAATAAAAAAATGTCCATCACAGTAGAAATGTTTTCTCAGGAGTTCAGTGATGCAGAATCCTCATGAAGTGAAGTTAGTCCACCTGATCAAAGTGTCTCCTGTTCAAAGAAAGATTCAGCTTTCATTAACGAGGAGTGAATGAAAAATTCTTCATGCATCAGCAAATGCAATCAGTGTGAAAAATTAAGGATTTCTTTAAATGCATCCAGTAAAACACAAAGATGACTGTATGTGGTACATGTGATGTGTTCAGAGACGTCACTTACCTTTGTTCCAGATTTCACTCTTTGTCAGAATTACTCTAAAGAAAAAAAACATTCAGGTCAAAAACTCAACATGATGGAAGAGCTGTCACACAAACACTGGGTCATGACCATCTCCACACAAACTTTCCTCGTCCATCATGTCACTAGTGATACAGTTTAACTAGTTACTTGTTCCTCAGTAAAAATCTGTTATATGGCCTCGTTATTCTTCATATATGAGGTTTTAGTGGAAGCGACTGATTCTTACTAAGATAAGAAAGAGCAACTGGAGCGATGTGCACTGTCATAAAAATGTCTAGTTTGTTATATCTAGATCTTTGCGAGTGGTTGCCATGTTCAGCATGTATGTTGCTCCCTCTGAGGATGTTGTTTTGTTTAGATAAGAGCATTTAAACTCCAAAAACAATCGACTGTAGGAGAAGAAACGTGTGATATGATGGTGATGGCAGGTTTATACCTGAAATCTACAGCTGGTGAGTGAGACCAGCTGAACAGTTCAGAAATGTTTTTAATAATTCAAAATGCATCAAAGTATAAAACTCCATGAGTAAAAACATGCAGCACCACATAAAGATTAAGACTGTGTGTCACAGAGAGCCTGTACTTACTTGTCATCAGCTCAGTTTTGATGGTTATGTCTGAAGAAGGTTTTGAATCTGAGGAGGAAAAATGATTAACAAAATGATTATGTTCAACTAAAAAATAAAATGATCTGTTTATGTTGATGATAGTGTTAAATACAAACAGCATGAACACCAACACAGACACGAGGAGAAAGTTTTCTCACTTGCAGGAGGATTTATCGTTCTGTTTCTGTCACTTAAATATTTAACTTTTTAAAATATGTGAGCACTGTTTCATTATGTAGGTCAGAAAATTTTGCAGTGTTTATAAAATGTATTTATGTGAGCACTACAGAAATCTCAGTTAGTGAACATGGAGAAAAGTTTATTGGGCAACATCCAGCCATGGAAGAAGAAGAATGAGGATGTGTGGTGGTGAAAAATGACAGAGAGCAGAATAAATGAAGATCCTGAGGAGTTCAGGGAAACGTTGAAGAGATGGATGAGCATTTGTGGCCAAACAGATTAAAGTAACAGGACGTGCAGTGATTCACAGATTTAGTTTGTTACTGTAAAATATTACTGAACATACTGAACGTAGTGGGGCCGTCTATGTTTCCAAGGTACCTGTTTTTAGTACTGATGCTTTAATTATTTTGTTCTGTTTAGTGCTGTGTAACTATAAACTATTATAACTGACTATATGAACACATGGTTTGAATTTCTAACCTTCTACTTTCATATTTAGAAAATGTAAAAAAAAATAAAGCCACTACGTTACAATTTTTATGAGGACACAAACAAATCCTCCAATCCAAGCACAAACAGACACACCTGAAGGGCTCCTTTCAGGATCATCTTCAGGTGAAGTCTTCATGTCTACAAAAATCAGACCAGACAGACAAAATCAAAACATAAAAACTTCAGCAACCAGCTGAGCTGCTCTGTGGTGATGCTGTTGTTAATTTCCAACACACTGCCAGTCATCTGCTTTGTTTCCATGCATTTAATTTTAGTCTCTAATTCACGTTCAGTGAAACAGATTTTTATGTGAACAGGATTCAGCTCAGAATGTCTACATGAGAAATTTACTTACATGGTTTAGAAGGTTTAGCTGTAAATAAAAGAAAGAATCAAATGTCAGTGATCATAGCTGTAAATACAGGAACACTGATCCCTACACCACTAACTCAAACTGGTTTACAAAGCTCTCTATGTTATTTTACCTTTTACTTTATTTACTATTGGTTCCTTCTCTCACTATGATAATACTGTTACAGTCATCACTCTGGGGCTTTAAACATCATTGCTGTACCAGGACCTGAAGCTTGTTTTAATGTGCAACCTGGAAAAACACTAAAAATACTGAAATCATCACTTTGTTTCACTCACCAGTTTTCTTTTTGTAAATAATGAATCCGATTAGTGCAACGACAGCGAGAACAAGAGCAGCAGTGACAATGGGGACGCTGATGGGGACGGCAGTGGGGCTGGAGCTGGGGCCGATCGTGATGTTGGGCACTTCTGTCGAGGCTAAAAACAAACAAACAAAAAAACAAAGAAGAAAAACAGCAAACAACTGATTTATTAATTTTAAATATTGTTTTGCAAAAAAAAAAAAACACTAAAATTTTTGTTCAATTATTGACAAAAAATGTTGAATGAAAATAAAGAGAAAGACAAAACTGAAATGTGTGTCCTTAATGTCTTTAACTTCTTTGACTTATACTAATACTAAAATAATATTATAATAAATCCAAACATTTAAAGCGTCAGTGCTACAACTGCAAACCATGATTGATTAGTTATTAATAAATAAAAATTATTTGTGTTTGTGGGTTTTTTTCTGTTTTGGACTGTTTATTTACAGTGATGGGAATTTTTTCAGTAACGAGTAATCTAACTTATTACCATTCCTACCGTTACAACGCCGTTACCGTTACTAACAAGAAAATGCGGTCGCGTTACTTTTTTTCAACAAACAGACGGTTGAAGCTGCCTTCAGCTTACTGCACCTTATATTAGTTGCACGGAAGTAACTGTCTATGTAAGTAATCTGGACGCTACAGCTTTAAGCAGCTGCGCGCGCTCCCGTGTTGATAGGCCACATAAAACCAGAGTCATGATAAACGCGGCGTTTTTTCCTCAATAGTTTCGTCACGATTAGTGTCTAAGGACAGCGCAGCGCGACCTCTCTGCTTATGAGCAAAAAACCCCAAAACAAAAAACTGAAGTTTTAGGAGTGACGGCGAGAGAGAGAGAGATTTGTGACGTTTAACGTGTTTGGAGTGTGTAGTTAATGTGTTGTCTTGTGTAGTTAGTGTGTAGTGTTGTGGATAGTTTTGTGTTGTGTGTCAGAACAATGAGGCGACTGCTGTCTCCAGGTAGAAAACAGGAGTGATGCACCTGCTGCTGTCAGACCTGCAGGTATCAGGCTGTGATGTTCTCCTTTATAGTGGACAAACATAATTTTTTTGGAGTGGCACAAATAATTTGTGTGGCATCTTATTGAAGAACAGCTGATTGTTCTGTAAATAGTTTGAAATGGTTATTTAAAAAATCAAGGTAAAAGGTAAACGGATCCAAATAACTTTGTTGTTTGCAAAACTTGTGTTTAGGATTTTAAAATTGACCATTTATATTTGAATTAATTTATGAAATATGATTCATTAAACATGTTTGTGGTTGTTACAGTAAAAAATATAACTTTTTCTACTCTGATTTTATGGTTTTTGTCTGATTTTAGATCAATTGTGTTAATACAGTATCTCAAAATGAAAACATAACTATAAATTCAGACAGGTGAGGTTGTGCTGAAAAGAATGATACCAAACAAGGCAAATAAATAGTTTTTAAAGGTGAAATGTGGAGGAAACATCAAAAGTAGTTAAAAACAGCCAATTATACCCTGGACCCCAGAGGGTTAAACATTTTTTTAAAAGTAACGCAATAGTTACTTTTCAAGTAATTAATTATGTTTAGAATCTTGTAACTCAGTTACTTTTTGGAAGAAGTAACTAGTAACTATAACTAATTACTTTTTCAAAGTAACTTGCCCAACACTGTTTATATATGATCTGTGTCATATGAGCAGGTCCATTGTGGGCGACAAAAAAAGAGTAAAATTAGATTTTGAAAATAAAGTCAATATTTTATGACATCCATCAGCTCAAACACAAAACAATACAAACAACACATCTTCATCATTTCTGATTATTTTCTTACCTTCATTTGTCTTGATGGCTGTTTTATCCAGTGTGGTGGTGACGTTTTCGTTCATACCAGAGAACTGAAACACACAGTCGTACCTCCTCCAGTCTTCAGCTGGAACAGATCTCAGATCCAGGTTAACAGTCATCTGGAAGGTCCCATCATTGTTGGTGAGGATCTCTCCTATCTCCACACCCTCATGAGTCTCCTCTCCATCTTTCCTCCACATCATCTCGGCTCTGTCAGGATAGAAACCTGTAGCGTGGCAGCTGATGGCAGAGGAGGAAGACTTCTGGAGGAGAGACACTGAGGGAAGAACTGGAGAGTAAAGAGAAACACAGGTCACTGTTTCTGTATTAACAGCATGCTAACACATATTAATGTACATATAGTACCATGTGAAGGATATTACAGAGTCAAATAAAGACTCTGTAATATAAAAATAAAGAAATAAGAAAAATATTTGAAGGGAGGGGGAAACCGTTGTAAAAGGCTGAAGTGATGGTTTTGAAATTTAACGAATAAATTACATTTTGATTATTGTTTAAAAAAACACATGAGATTAGCAGACATAGAGGAAGAGAGAAAACACACTGAACTTAACTGTGTTGGTCATAAAAAAGTTGTATTACTTAATAAAAACGAGGTAAATTATCACTCTAAGTCTGGTCATGTGATACCTGTTCTCAGTAAAGAGCTCCTCCCATAGTTCAGATACTTCTTCAGCCACTCAGGACAAATCTGAGTGTAATAGTTCTTCACACTGGTTATAAAAGCTTTGTTACTGTCCCACTTGTGTTTGGTCACCACAGCCTGTCGTTTTGGAGCGACCCACGTCTCTGTCTGCAGGTCAAATATTATGAAGTCTTCTCCATCATAACCAAACTGCTCATATCCCTCCACCTCGTTCGTCTCATCATCCCATTCGCAGCCGTACATCCGCTGGACAATGTGAACACCTGAAAGAAGAACAGAGAAGAAGACGACAGTGAACCAGAGTGAGATCCAACATCGTCTCATATAAACACAGAGACACAACAGAGACTAAAACATGACCTGATTCAACACAGCTTCCACAGAAGGAGGGTTTCAGGACAGAGAAGCCTGTTCAGCAGTGAGTTGCTGCAACTGGTTTCAATAAACATAATAATAAATATCCTTAAAGACAAGCTATGTAAGATGTGAGCTCAGTACAAATACTGTTTTCAAAATGTTAAATGAAAGAGAGAAAAACGTCATTTGACTTCACAATTCTTCATTTCTTCTTCCTCTTTCGGTCACTCTCTTTAAGAGTCGCCACAGCAGATCCTCCTTCTCCACATCCATGAACTTCCTCCAAGGTCTTTCTCTTCCCAGCTCCACATTCAACATCCAAACCATGTCAGCCTTGCCACTTGGTCACTCCCAATAAAATCATCATCAGCTCTGTTACCTCCAACTCGGTGCCTTCATCTCCACACCATGCATCGCAACAGGTCTCAATACCATCTTGTAAACCTTCCCTTTCACTCTTGCTTGTACCACAGATCACACCCTGACACCCTGCACCTCCCCAGTGCTCTGCCTGCTACTTTGGATGGTTGACCTAGGCATTTAAATTAATAATCATCACTATTTCTGCTTCTTGCATCCTCTCTGTAACACTGTTCTCCCTGTCATTCACACACATTTACTCTGTGTCGCTTCTACTGATTTTCATTTCTCTTCTCACCAGCGTATAACCCCATCCCTTCCACCTGCTCCCTGCTCTCACTCCAGATCACAACACTGGAAACATCAAAGTCCATGGAGACTTCAGTCTGACCTCATCTGTTAACCTGTCCATCCCCACTACAAACATGAGGGGGCTCAGAGCAGATCTATGACGTAATCCCACCCCCACCTTGAACCCAATTGTCACTCCAACCACACACACATGTCCTGCACCACCCTCACATACTTCTCTGTCATCCCTGACTTTCTCATGCAGCACCACAGTTCATCTTTTGGCATCTTATCACATGCTATCTTTGCAACACCTTCTGACCTCCTCTAAACTTTTCCATCAACACTGAAAGAAACATCTCGTCTGTGGTGCTCTTTTTCAGCATGAAGCCATACTGCCGCTTCCCCATTCCTCAGACGTTAAGCAGTCTGGTTAAAAAGTCCACTGCTCTCTCTCCTAAACATCCCAATAACTCCACAGGTATGATCTGGACAAACTGCCTTTTCACTCTTCATCCTCTTACAGCTGCCCTCACGTCTTCTTTACTCATCCTCTGAACTTCCTGATTCACTAGCTGCCCTCCATCTGCCCTTTACATTCATCGTGAGTCATCCTGTATTTAAATCTTTAATCTGAATGAAGTATTTTTAAAGTGTATGTATGCAAATCTGTTTATGACTAAAATAAACGCTGAAAACATTAACAGCAAATATCAGTAAAAAAACAATAAAACATAAACACACCTCCCGTTTGGTTGAAGCGCTGCTTTGCAATTTCAATGTTGGCTTTGAACACCTGCTGGGCACTTACAAAGCCCCCAGTCTCTCTCTCCCAGTACTGCTCATCTATAGTTCTGTTCATCCAGTCCTGTTTGGACACAGTTTTCATGGTGTTGCTGTCAAACTGAACCATCTGAACGTCATCAACCATCCCAACAACCACGAACTCTGGGAAGTTTGGGACTTGA